TTTTTTTGTTTTCATCAAATAAACCAAGTCAATCTAGTGCAATCAATCAATAAAGGTGCACAAACCATCTATAACAGAAAGAGAGTACAGTTTTAGGTAGGATCCAAACATCCAGAATGAATAGTAGGCAAAAGGAATGCAAAATTTTATTAATTATTGGAGAGTTAAGACATGCCTGGTGTGTTTGGCAAGTTCACAAGCATCACATACTAAGAATTGAAATAACATTTCGCAAACAAAGTGGGGAAATTAAACGTCCTAAAAAAAAAAAAAAAAAAAAAAAAAAAAGAGGGATGTCTAATCTCCTGTGCCATTGAATATTGTTCAGGGAGGGATTTTCTAGCCAGTTCCTAACAAAGCTTGACTGGTACCCTCAATTTGAAAAACAACAAATGTTCAATCCAACAGATACACGTCCATCATGCAGCCTGCGGCACTGCGCTAATCGTTCTCCTCGTGTTCAGTTCTGAAATATACAATGAGTAGCGGTACAAGTTACTTTGCAATTAAGTTCTTTAGATTAAGTCTAAAGATAACTGATTTAATAGGAAATCTGGAACTAATGAAGAACAGGGGAGAATTTAATATTGGAAGTACAGTCAAATAGAAACTATGCCCAGCATCGGGTACTAAGGAGGCGCATTCGCAATGCGAATTTTTTTGTCTGTGCCTTGATAACTTAGAATATGAGGAAATGTTTTATAGAGCCTGTTGTATGTTTATTTGCTCCTGAATCTATAACCCAAGAGGGTTTTGTAATTTTTGCAAGAAAGGTAAGAAAAGTATTGCTTGAATTAACAAAATTAGAGGCTGCAGTCTGAGTTGAGGACGAATCAAGCTGTGACAACAATTGTTTCAGGGATGGAATCTCCTTATCAGAAAAGCTTCCAGCAGTAGATGGTTCCTCAGATAAAGCTCCATTATCAGATATGTGTGCTTGTGGTCTAGAAGAACTGACCCGTCTCCCTCCACGCCCTTTAGTTGGGCGTCCATGTAATTTCTAGCAGAACTCCTTAGTGTGCCTGCTCTTACCGCAATAGTCACAAAATAATTGATCTCTATCTGAAGAACTGCTCTTTGCAGCCTGGATATGTTCTCTTACAGAATTAACAATCAAACCCTGTTAATCAATTGTAGCATCTATGAACGCAATGTTCTCCTAGTACTCTCATGCTATTAATCAAATGAGTAATGCTTTATCGTACGGTGATGGAATAAGGATCTTGTCTGAACTTGGATCGAATTGTCATACTCGTTATTTAGGACATGCTAGAATCATACACCGTTCTAACTATGTCTCTTCTCAACTTCTGAAACTTGAGTGCATCATCAGTACAATTCTGCTGAAGTCTTGATATAATCCAGTTCTTCTTGCCATCGACCTAGTTTCAGCAAATACTGAGCGAAGTCGATCTCCCCTACTTGATTTCATGATGTTCTATCGCATTCATACCTCTGAGCATAGTTTCCAGTTTGTGAATATGTTTGTGAAGCGGCTCCCATAATTTCCTTAGCGTATAGAATTGATATATCTCGAAAAAAAGTTTGCTGATGAAATTTTATTGAACGAAGACGATAATAAGGGAATTCTCACGAATTTTCACTGTATTTAAAGGCCGGATCTTGTCGAAACTGGTTTAGTTGCTGCTTACTCGTAAAGGTATCTCTTACAAACTCTAGCTCTAATGAAGTAATAAGCAAAACCAGAGACTAAGCGGTAGTTTTTCATTAACTATCATTCCGGTACTAGATCTGACAGTGAAGGGCTCTCTGAAGTTGAGAAAACCCATATCTAGCCTTCTTTCCCGTCCGCATTGATTTTAGACAAAAAAACTTAACCGGCAACAGTGGCTGAAATAAAATCAAAAAAGGGAGAAAATTATAAAAGACGAAAACTTGTGTTGAAAGACAAGTAGGTTCCTAAGCGCACACAGAGTCGAGGTCGCCGAACAAGAATCGTCGATCGGAGCTCGCCGGAAACAGCCGCACGCACTGGCACGGTGGGATGGCTAGAGGATCCTTCTAGAGCAGTGTGATGCACGACGCGCGTGGTCGGACGTCGGACGTGGTTTGGAGGGAGTGCAAATCTGCGATCGGATTGTTCCTTCTTGACCTGGCGGTGACGGACCACTCCCACTCCGGCGGTACTGTGGTATCTCAGACGACTTTCAAATGGAAATGTGTACATGGAAATTCGACGGAGCTCGCCGGAAACAGCCGCACGCACTGGCACGTGAAGAATGGCTAGAGTCTTCTAGAGGCGTGTGTGCACACGCGCGTGGTCGGACGTCGACGTGGTTTGGAGGGAGTGCAAATCGGCGATCGCTTTTCCTTCTGACCTGGGCGGTGACGACCAACTCCCACTCCCGGCGGTACTGTGGGTATCTCAGACGACTTTCAAATGGAAACTGTTACCGAAAAATTCACGGCAATGGCTCTGATACCATGAAGAAATTAACGGAAAGAATATGTTGTATTTCTTTCCATTGTGTTATATTTTTCAACCTCTACTCCACTATATATATAAAAAATTGTTCCAATATAGGAAGTAATCTAATAGGAATAAACCTAAACTAGGAAACATAATATTTACTTTAATCACAAAGATTTCAACATTTATTAATATTCTCATCGACAAAAATATTATTGTTGTTATTTACACTCACATCCAATTATATATTATTGTATTCATTTCAGGAAATGAAACAAATCTAATTGAGTGCGTTTTATGTCATAACTTTTTTTATATCATGATTATAAATATGTCATTATTTTTTGTTTATGCCCAGTATTGCGATATACTATTTGATTTATTTCAGGGAATAAAAACAAATTATATTATGTAAATTCAGTGCTTTATATTTGCTAAATAATAAAAAGAGAGAAATAATTTAAAATCAACAATCAATATGTTATAATATTTTTTTTCGATCATGCTATTGCAGGAGCATATTCAAAAGTATAAGATATTATTCACTTTTTATGAATAAAATAAGTTAATATTTAATTGTTAAATATCCAGTGGAAGAAAATTTTTGCTTTAGTGCAATTTTGAATTATTCCTTGATTTTCTTCCTTAATGTGTCTTCAGGACACATAATATCTACATATAAAAATAAATAATTTATACTCAATATATATTAAAAGTCACAAATCTAATTCTATAAGATTTGTCATGATAAAAAGTAATATAACAATGTAATTACTTTAGATAATAAGACCATAATAATAATAATAATAATATTATGGAACTAAGAATATCACAGTTGAATAGTTGTGATTTTAAAATATAAAACATAACTTTATGCATTGAAATAATAAAACCATCATGCATTTATTATCAATACATAATAAATCAAAGAAATAATGTGGTGTTGTCAATTATGATTACATAGAGATTCCATCTCACAATTATATTTTATATTTTAAAGCCAAAATCAAAGAATCATAATATCATTCTTAGTTTAAAAAATATGTATTTAATATTTATATAGAGCAGATAAATTAAAACTTGTGTTTACTATCACGTAAATTAGATTATAAATTAATTACAGATATATAATTTCCAAAGGCATATAGAAAATTACCTTTTGAGTGTAAATAAATTCAAACACACCGACCTTAACTTTGGTTGTCACAAACCACATATTATTCTTTCTTTAGGTGATTTGATCAAGGGAGTGTTATAATAAAAATCGAAGCGGTAGAACGAAATCATGCTGATAATGTATTATGAAATATAAGAAAAAGAGAGTATAAATAGAAATGGAATAGACAAAATAAGAGAAAATAGAGTAAAATTGATTTCTTGAATAAGGATCTTAATTAGCTAATTCGAAGGATTAAGGAACTATTTATATGATACAAAATATGATCCAAAAGACATAACATTATACGTTAAATTATATAACCCTTCATCCTAAAAGTTTGTGAGGCAATAGCTTACCAAGGTGATGATCAGTAGCTGGTCCGAGACGATGTTCCACGACCTTACAAACTAAATGATATAATCTTTCATCCTAAATGATATAACACTTTATTCCAAATGATATAACTTTTGAAAAAATAAATAATTTCTTTAATAAATTTAATAGACATCCACTGTATTACGTAGTTTTATAACAAATATCAAACATTTATTTTATTAAATTACATTTTTTCTGTGACTCTCCTTAAGAGAGCATTTGTTTACCGGAATTTAATGGAAAAAAAGGTTGGAAAAGTTGAATTTCAAATATTTGATAGGTATTTTCTTACAGAAGTTAAATTTCTAAGTATGTAGGTGTTATCTTTACCCTTTTTTTTTTAAATTTATATAGAAACTCAAATGGTGGAAAAATTAGATTTGCATAGAAAATAAAATATATTAAAATTTTATAATAACTTATTATTATCATTTTATTGTCATAATTATATACTATTCTTAGTTTTTATTATTATCCAATTATCCAAATACAATAATTGTATTCTCTATAATACCTTTTCATAGGGTAGTTGAATTTGGCAACTAAACATATAAAAAAGAAAAATTATATTTTTTCCTTATATTTTTATATAATTAACTACTTTGTTCTTATATTTTAAAAATTATATTATTTATCCTTATACTTAGATTTGTTAAATGAAATTATCCAATTATTTGAGATTTAAATCATTAAGTACTAGCAAGATTGTAGGACTAACCCTATATGCATATGAACTAAAGGAAAGAAAATTACATTTTTATCCTTATATTTTGACATAATTAATTACTTTATTCTTATATTTCAAAAATTTACAATATATTATCTTTGTAACTTAATCCAATTTAAATCTCAAATAATGGATGGACAAAATAATTTCATTTAATGAACACAAACCTTATGGATAAATAATGTATTTTTAAAATGAAAGAGCAAAATAGTTAATTATGTAAAAAATATAAGGATAAAAACATATTTTTTTTCCTTTTAAAAACATATAAAAATGGTGCACCACTGAAAATTGCTTTGCTGGTGAATTAGTGATGCGCAGCATTTTTCTTCTTTTTTTAAAAAGACCAAATACAGCAAAGATTCTGTTGAATCCAAAATTTCCAAATCCGAATCGTATCGGTCTCCGTTTCAGACTAGAATCCTACGATACACAGAAATCCCGTCACTCCTCCAAATTCTCCCTTACATATTTCCATGTCTGAAACGCAAACTCTATCATCACCAACAGATCTCACCGACCACCACCAGCCATTGCTCACCTCAGCACCAATGGACTATCAAGAACCTCAATACCCTATACCAATAAAAAGATATTGGCGATGGAGCAAGCAAGATTTCTATCCAGAACCCTCTTTTCAAAACCTCTCAACTTATAAAACTGCACTTTCTCAAACCTTTCCTCGTCTCAAGGACCGTCTTCTCTCTCGCTCTACGGACGCCAATGAACTTGTCATTCTCCAGAAAGAAAGCGAAAACCCGATGCTAAAGTGCCTTACTTGGTGGGACCTTATGTGGGTCGGCTTTGGTTCTGTTGTTGGATCTGGTATTTTTGTTGTTACTGGTCTAGAAGCTGGTTCTGTGGGTCCTTCTATAGTTCTTGCTTATGCTATTTCTGGTCTCTCTGCATTGCTCTCTGTGTTTTGTTACACTGAATTTTCTGTAGAGATTCCTGTTGCCGGTGGTTCTTTTTCTTTTCTCAGAATTGAATTAGGTGATTTTATTGCTTTTATTGCTGCTGGGAATATTCTTTTGGAGGGTGTTGTTGGTGCTGCTGGGTTAGGACGTTCTTGGTCTTCTTATCTTGGTAGCATGATTAATAGTAAAAATCCTGACTTTTTGAGAATTAGAGTTAAGTCTTTTGCTGATGGATTTAATCTTTTAGATCCAATTGCTGTTCTTGTTCTTTTGGTGGCTAATACTATAGCAATGACGGGTACAAAGAGGACTTCTATTCTGAATTGGATTAGTTCTATAGTTAGTGCTTCTATAATTGTGTTCATCATTATTGTAGGATTTATTCATGGTAAAAGTGCAAATTTATCACCGTTTTTTCCAGATGGATCAAAGGGTGTTTTTGAAGCTGCAGCAATTGTGTATTGGTCTTATACTGGTTTTGATATGGTTGCTACTTTGGCAGAAGAGACCAAGAAGCCATCAAGGGATATACCGATTGGGTTGATTGGTTCAATGTCTATGATCACTGTGGTTTATTGCTTGATGGCTTTGGCATTGACTATGATGGTAAAATATACTGAGATTGATCCGGATGCTGCATATTCAGTTGCTTTTGTTCAAATTGGGATGAATTGGGCGAAGTATTTAGTTAGTTTATGTGCACTTAAGGGAATGACTACAAGTTTATTGGTTGGATCACTTGGACAAGGTAGATATACTACTCAGATTGCAAGGTCCCATATGATACCTCCTTGGTTTGCTCTAGTTCATCCAAAAACTGGAACACCTATCAATGCCACTCTTTCGATAACTATACTTAGTTCTATTGTAGCATTTTTCTCTAGTTTGGATGTTCTATCAAGTGTCTTTTCCGTGAGTACGCTACTCCTTTTCATGCTAATGGCTGTTGCATTGCTTGTGAGGCGATATTATGTGAAAGATGTTACTTCAGGGAATGATTTGATCAAATTTCTTGTGTGCTTATTTGTCATTATTGGTTCTTCAATTGGAGTAACTTCAGTTTGGAGTTCGAATGGGAAAGGATGGATTGGATACGTGGTGACTTCGGTCCTTTGGTTTTTGGGGACTTCGGGACTGGCTTTGCTACCAAAGCAATGTGCTCCAAAGGTTTGGGGAGTTCCTCTTGTTCCATGGTTGCCATCACTATCAATTGCAATGAATTTCTTTCTTATTGGATCTTTGGGTAAGACAGCGTTCTTGAGGTTCATTGTTTGCAGTGCCGTAATGATTTTATACTATTTGTTTGTAGGAGTCCATGCAACTTATGATATAGCTCGCCAAAACGAGGAAGAAACAAATAAGATAGAAGAGGGTAGATAAAGTTTAGGAAATGCATATATGGTGATATGGCATTTTGAACATATAATTTAGTTAGTTATTTCTTATATTTTCATGTCAATCCTTAGGATATTATTGATTTCAGTACTCTGTAAATATTTAAGTTAGATGGAATCTATTCAATATGAAGGAAATTCTTTGTTGTATTCAAATCCAGGAATTTGTTCTGAAATTTGATGTTTATGTAATTACCAAGCTGATTGTCTCCCTTATGGAATATTGGGGTTCTTTAAGATCACCTTCTTGATTATGTGAGTGGGGAATATAATGATAGCCGCAATTTTGTATTTCAGCCTCCATGTCTGCTGCCTGCTTGGACAGGACAAAATTTGGCGGGGAATGTAGGTTTTTGATGGCAATTTCTTGATTTCTTCCCTCATGGCAGCTCTGCCTATCTCATCAATGGAGCTCGGACAACATGGAAATTGTTATAGGGAAATATTGTCAAATTATTTTTTAAAATCCTTCATAGGACAACATTAATTCATTGCACAGTCATGATTTCAATTGGTTGATTTCTTTATCATTGTCATGTTTTCTTGCTGAAAATTTGTTACCAACATAAAAATATACAACCATATGTCATGCTTGGGAACAAACTACAATGCTTACACTTTTCTGTTCATTTTAGTTGTGAACTCTATCAATTGCTTTATAGCCACTTAGTCATTCAGGATGTTGGCATTCTTGATGTTAGTTCTTAATGGTGTCTATAGTAAAGTTGCAACTTGCATATTGTAGTTGGACCCATTAGATTACGTTTGTTCAGTAATAGAGAGATTGGACATTTTCACTAATTTCTGCAATTCACTGGTGAAAATCACAAAGAAGTCTTGCAGGAGGCTAAATATGAAAGGTAAGCTTGAAACACAGTGAATGCTTGCTGATGTGTGTTTCAAGATTCATTTCAGTAGGTAGCAACCTGTTGGACTTGTCAAATTCTGCTAGCTGAACTCGACATAATTTTCAAAAGAAGAAAGAATGATATTCATTTGTCTCATTTTTGCAGTCTTTTATTCATGTTTCATTTTAATGGCGACAGAAGTTTTTAAGGGGAAGTTTAATGGACACATATGTTGAAAAAAATATGGAATATCTTTCTCTTTCACAGAATATGCTGTTCTTGCAATACCATTCGATGGAGTGTCTACTAAGTACTATAGTCGATCATCATAAGAAGCAGAAAGTGTTATTTTGATTTAGTCAATTGCATGTGTTTCATTGCAGAAAGCAGAATGGGATATGTATAATAGAAACATGTTTGATTTTCATTGTTATAAATGAAGAGCTATATGTATTTGGATTCTAATCTGTTGTCAACGATAAATAACTCATAAATAACTTAATTTTCCTTAGGTTTCTTGGTTCCCAAACAAGTTACTATGCTTTCTTGGTTCTCAAATTACAAAGTCCGTAGGAAATTACTTCACTTAATTGAATGACATTTGGGAGGAATTGAGAATCTATGGGCTAGTTCCTCGCTGCTCTTATGGACATTGTAACCATAATTGCTTTCAAAAATTTACTGATGTGCAAATGAAGGATTATTGTTCAAAGTTTTTGAATGGCTTAAATGAGACATTTCAGGGAATTAGATCTCAATCATATTGATGGAACCATTTCTATCTCTGGATTAGGTTTATAATTTGGTGTTGCAAGAAGAGACACAAAGGCTATTATTGCTTTAAACACAGTCCTTCCCAGAAATGTCAGCAATGGAATTTAAAAGGAAGAACAAGAGTGAAATCATTAGTTACCATTACGGAAAACCTGGTCATATGAAGGCTAGTTAGTATAAGTAGATTGGTTCCTCTCCTGATTTTAAGTTTACAAAATCAAGGGAAGTTCACCTTCTGTGTCTCTAATTCCCAATTACATGTCAAGATCCTTCTTTGGCTTAGCTCATTCAGCATCCAGCAAGCTTATTTCAGACCAGCAATCTACCACACTTGACAGTCTTTCCAACTTGAATATGTCGAAGGAGCAAGTTCAGAAGCTTATCACTTTTCTAAATGATCAATCACCTGTCTCCACCTTCCATCACCAACTAGAATGTAGCTTCCTCATCTTCACCACGTGTCAATATTGCAGGTAGAATTTTCTCACTCTTCTCAGTTGCATCATCTTCTACGTTGTAAACTATTCTGCATTCTAAATTTTCTTCTCCACCTTGGACTGTGGACACAAGTTCCAAAAAAATTGCATTCTATTCTCTTGCATAATTCTTCTGTCTCCCCACCTAATGCCATGAGAGTTCAAGTTACTGCTATAGAACCTATTCAATTAGACTCTTTTTTCTTACATAATATGCTGTTAGTTCCTTCCTTCTTTTTCAATTTATTGTTACTTGGAAATTTAATAACTTCACAAAACAAATTTGCTTCATAATTCTGTCTAACTTTGTTTTGACCAGGTCCTTTAATGATAGATGACTTATTTGTTTTGCTTCAGGATTGTATTCCTTCATCATTATGCTCTTTAGTTCCTGTTAAGTCTATTGCTCATGTTAGTTCTGTTTCTTTAGAAACTTGGCATCATAGGTTAGGCCACCCTACAAATGATAGAATTAATGTCTTGAAATCAATAACCATTCCTATTATAGTTGATTTAACATTGTTATACTTGTCTTAAAAAGCCAAATAGAGAAGAAGGCTTTGCTTTCCGAACAATGTATCTTCTGCATCTGCTCCTTTTGAGATTGTATATATAGATATATGAGATACTCATTTCTTTCTTACCATTTATTGTTAATGATTTTACTAAGAGTATTTGGATTTTTCTTATGTCCAGAGTTTTACCATTTTTTCAAACTCAAACTCAATTTCTCTTAAATAGATCAGAACTGATAATGGGATCGAAGTTTTTCTCAGGTCTTTTTTTTTTTTTGCCTCTACAGGGATTATCCATTTATTTTATCAATAGAAATCCCATGGTTTAACACAACAACAAATCTATTTTCAAGCTGTTGTTTCATAAAGTTTCTTCCTATATACTCATTTAAGAGCATTCTCCTAGTAAAAGATATTACTTGTATGATCTTGACTCTCGTACTACTTTCATTTCTAGAGATTTGCTTTTTCATGAACATATGTTCCCATTTGACAAAATCTTATTTTGTCCCAGATTTTATTTTCTCTCTATTCCATTGTTTCCTTTTGGACTACTCTTTCTCTACTATTCTTATAAATGCTACATCTTCAGTCCCTGTTGTACTTTTCTTTCTATTTTAGCCTTTTGATCTGCTCCTGCTTCAGATTCTTCTCCCTTTACTTCTACTGTAGCTCCTCTTGTTCCTGTTGTTTTTCATACTAATGAACATTCTCATGTTGGTCGAAGTTCTTTTGCCTTCTTATCCCCCTTCGAGACACAATTTTAGGCCTTAGCACTTACCAACTTATCTCAAGGATTACCATTATCTTATGGAAAAATTATAATCATCCCCTCGTGTTAAAGAACTGCTTTATCGTTGTATTTTTAATAATAAACTGTCATTCTCTCAGTATTTTTCGTCCGTTACAGGCCTTCCGTCCAATATTTATGATTTTAGAGCTCAAAGTCAAAAGGAAAGTGTAAAGAGAGAAAAAAATTTTTCACCAAAATACCCTCTTCCCCTTCCTCTCTTTCTCTACCAGAAATCTGCCATGTCTGTTAAAGGGGTATAATTGCTCCTTATCCTGCAGTTTCAAGAACACTACAACTCTCCATTTTCACACCTTTTAGCAAATCCTTCTTCTTCATATCGGGCCAAATAAACTCAGATCTGATGGAGGAAAGAAGAAAATGAGGTGGAGAAATCAATATACACAGAATCAATATAAGCTCAAAAATTAACAATTGAAGTGCATAAATTTAACACCTAAATCAAAGTCCAAATATACACCCAACGCCTATTTACCATCCTCGCTAAAAGTTCGAGCTAGCGGTTGTAGGAGTTCGATTTGCAGTTCGGTTGTGGGAGTTGGATTTGCGGTCCAAATGACACTTTAATTACCAGCGGTAATACTCTCGAACTCACTTTTCACATCCACCAATTGCGGTCCTTCTCATTCGTTTGCTTTGTGGTTTCGTTTTCTGTTTGGGTTGTTTGGGTCCGTTCTGGTTTCTGGGTTTGCTTGAGGAGTAAAAGGGAAGATAGGGTCAAAAATGTCATTTTACATGCATTTAAAAAAAACCTAACAGAAGGTTAATTTAATGTAACGGATTCAAAATACGAAGACATAACAGTTTATTTAAAAAAAATGAATGTAAAGTAATTTTTTTATAAAATATAGGGATATATTTTTAATTTTCTTTTATTTTATAAGGCTCACTTTCTACCTTTTGCATCCTCCATCACATTGCATCCTATTCCAAATCTATCTTTCTTATCACAGATTGTTTCCTTCTTATTAATCTCTTATCCTTAACTTTTCTTTTATCCCTGAACAACTTCATAATTTCAAGCCATGAAATCTGATGGAAGATCCATCTAGCCTAGCATTACAAGTTGTCCTAGACATATGTCTTGGTCTTGATTCCATTAGTGAAGTTGATGAAGACACTCCAAGTGAAAATGGGCTTAGTGGGAGTGACATGTTCAATCTAAAGCTACAGCTCTTTTTGGGGACATTTGGGATCCTTCAAACCATAATATTTGAAGACAATAATCAAAGACCACTTGGTTGATCATTGACTATGAATTTCAGACCATTTGTGTTGTTTTCAAACTTAGTTAGGTGTCTTTTGAATTGTATCTTTGAATGAGTTATTTTCAAATTTAGTTAGGTGTCCCTTGAATTGTGTCTTTGAATGAGTTGTTTTCAACCTAGTTAGGTGTATCTTTGAATGTGTTGTTTTCAACATAGTTAGGTGTCCTTTGAAATTGTGTCTTGCAAAGCTCGTTTTTGGGACTTGGGTCCTTCAACATAATATTCGGAAAGAAAATAATCAAAGACCAAATTGGTTGAGTTCATTGAACTATGAATTTCGACACATGTTGATGTTGTATTTCAAACTTAGTTAGGTTTTTTGATTGTATCTTTTGAATGAATTTTTTTCAAATATTAGTTGTGTCATGTGAATTGTTCTTTGAAATGAGTTGTTTTAAAACCTAAGTTTATGTGTTCTTTGAATGTGTTGTTTTCAACATATATATGGGTGTCCCTTTGAAATTTGTGGTCTTTGAACAACACATTCAAGGGAGATTATATTGCTTATCAGTCTTGTTTCCCCTTTATAATAGGGGTTTGTGTTA